ACTGCGGCACTGATCCTTTATCTTCAAGAAATCAGCCTCCTCCAACAATTTTGTTTCGGTAGAGCCCTTGCCGCCCCCCCCCCAGCTTTTTCGAATTCGGCTACTCCTGCTCTCCAAACCTAAGTATGAGGAGCGTCTCGTCCGCCGACCAGGTTGCATATGCTGATTCCATCGCAAAATGAAGAGAAACCATGGAAAAACAGTGGAAACGAACTCAAGTTGGTCAAAACAACGCGATCAAAAAGCTTGCAGGTCGCACACGGTCAGGATGCTGACCCCGTGACCCCGGAATTATGACGCAAAAACCGGTTCAATAAACCCTTAGCGTTCAGACCAGGTTTTTCGGTGGAAAAACCCCACAAAAGCCCCTCAAAAACCACCTCCCGAGGTGGTTTTTCAAAATCGGATTTAAACCCCTAAAAAACCGGTTAATTTGCGTTCACACCAGGTTAAATAAAAACCGGTTTTTGAAAAACCGGTTGAAACCGCTAAATATAAGTCTGGTATGAACAGGGTCTATGTGCTAATTTAATTTGTAATGTTCAGGTAACATTACTGTGATATAAGGCCTGTATCTAAACCTGTTTAACGTTGATACCTGTACCTGATCTTACATTTAGGTAATTCCAACACTAACGGGGGGTGCCCTAATTCCGACCCATCCCTAATACCGAACTAGTTTGAAAAATCCTTGTTGCGGCGTTATGCATGGGAGCACGTGCCTAAAAATAATCACAAGAATGGACAATGTTTTTGTGTTGATATTGGTAATCTCACAAAGTTTGTTTTAGTTCATACACTCCGACAACAGACGAGTGAAAAATCTGTGTGAATTCGACGCTTGTTCGGGGGTTGACGAGCGTGTCAAAAATGCAGGTTTTGCTTTTCAAACAGCCACTTTGGAGCAAGTCGCGTACGCGTAATCGTAAAAAGAGGACTTGTTTGGGACAGAAAACAGTTGTAGATTGTTTTAGTCATAATTTGTGTATTATAATTTCTAAACTCTCTTCTCAGATCAACCTGTGTTAAACACTGGGTCGGAATTAGGGCACCCCTGTTGCGATAGAACGTTCCACCGGCAAAATGACCAAAAAACTACAGTGCGTTTCGTGAGCCATTACGCTTGGGTGCAAGGCGCTACACTCAAGTGAAATACACAGCTGTGCAGCTTCAATCGTTGTGATCTTTATCTGTCAATATTATATCTCATGTTGCGCGGGTTTTTGGTCAGATAAACTATTACCAAAAGTCTGTGCGTTTGCATGGAACATAGGTCGGAATTAGGGCACCCCCCGTTAAAGATCACAAGCTTAGCTTTTACACATTAAATGATAGAGAGACTAGTTTGACATAGTTTGTAACATAATTTTTTTATCAGGACTTCCAAACATCCAGTATACGCTAAAAATTGTACAATCCTCAGCAAAACACCGGAGGCAAAAGCAGTAATGTAAATGTTGCTGTTGTAGTGTTATTATGTTAACTGAAAGATAAGATACGCCAAAAAACAGTTACTCAAGCAACTGGATATGATTTTGAAAACGTCAGACGTTTCAGCTAGTATCCACTAGCTTTCGTCAGTGACTGAGAGACCAGAGGGGAAAGCAGGTTTATAAGCACAACCTATTGATTGATTGTCTTCACTTTATTTGCA